TACCTTGCTAACTGGACTGTAAATAGAGCCGTCCCCACGTTGAAAGAGTTGTTTACAACTGTAGACGACTTCCTGGCACGTGACTATGACAGAGTTCTGCGGAGGGCGTTGTCTCTCATGGACCAATCAGATTACAGATGTGACGTCACCGGTGTTGCAGGTAAATGATCCTCGTAGAATCTTGTGCAGTCGTTGATTTCTTCGTCAACACTCGGCCTTGTCCGTAACCTCTCTGTTCGGCTTGTGCCGGAGTTACATGAGTGAACACGTGTCTTGATGGCTGAGTGGAAGCGCGCGAAAACTTAGCTGCGTAGTACCGATGTAAGCAGACTGTTCCCTGTCTGTTGTGACTGTATTCTTCAACTTTATTATCTTTACTGCCATCATCTTATACAGATGTTCTGTAAAGTTGACCGTAACCGATGTATCACTGAGGAACTGCGACAATGCTGATAACTGTCCCCTTGATATCTTGATAATATACAATCCAAAAACCATATACAGCTGCCATTTAGATGTAAAAGGTCCAAAATAGAAAGGATATGTGCCGGGACACAGGTGCCGTCTTCAAGGGCGAAGAAGGAGAGAGTGACAAACATAGCTGGTCATGTGACCAAAAAGGGCGCCAAAGGAGGCAAGGGTGAGTGATGATTTTACGTCCGCTTTTTAGAAGGGAACTTCAAGGGATTTCAAGTGTTCCACTATCATTCGCAAGAAGAAGGAGACAAGCATTTAGCATGAGTCAGGATAAGGAAAAATATGGATATTATTTCATATTGAAATATTAGTTAAAGAATCATACATTTTCATGCTACAATTTTTAAGCAGATTGTAGAAAACCAAGAAGTCAGTATCCACCTTGTTTTCTAAATCGTTCAAATACTTAAAGATCACACATATACTCTAGGGGGTACAAATACATAAATCACTAACTGGCATCGCTATAAATGAAACCCCGTCATTAAAACTACCCACTTCGGTCTTTAATTAACTTAAATCAACCTTTTTGACAACAGTGCACAATTCTCACCCGCGAACGAAATTTCAACCAATCAGAGCGGGGCGACTCTGTGACGTCATATGAGGAATAGATATGAGGACCGATGCAGAATTCATCTACATTTCAGGGGGTAAATTATCTTGTTTACAGGTTTGTATAAACCTGAAATCATGACAACTGTTGTGGAAAATGAAAGCTATATGTTCTCACAATCTACTGTCATTTAATTTTGTCTCCTGCTTTGCCTAGTTTCCGAGTTACAACTTGTTTTCATAGACGATTCTGTCAAAATCGCTTGGTGTCATTAGGCCTTATTTGTATAATGACTGATCCAAATTGATCCTATTTCTGTGTTTTTTTACCTCGATATTTAATCATGTCATGTAAAAATCTGTTTGTATTCTCCAAACAAGTTTTCACATGCAATACAGCAATTAATACTCCCTTGTTGTAACCCGTGTTAGGTGGTATAAACCTACACATGTTATTTGTCATCATTCACTTGATGGTCAGTTAATGAATTTATAACAGGTATAATTAGTGGTAACACACTTCGATTACCCGACAAAGGTTCCCATTTGGCATTTCTTGTGTCTGGAGTAAATACTCAACATTATAAACATCGATCAAAGGATTAACCGATAACACGCTGATTGATTAATTACTTTTATCTTACACATCGGATTTGTCAAAAGGTAGTGTTTATGTATGTAGATTTACTAATCTATACTGAATGCACTCTGTCGTGTCGGTGTCTGCGTAAAAACAACGTCCTTCTTTTAAAGGATTAACCGGCAATACATTGATTGATTGCCCATTATTGGCTAACTAAATTACTGTTTTTAAAGAAAGGCGGACATTATGCAATTAGTTGCCAGGTGTGCTATCTTGGGTGACCAATGAGACTAAACACCAATGTGACATACCTGAAACAATATATCACTTTTTCGTATACTAGACTGTTAAAAGACACATAACTTAGAACAGCTGCAGATGAATGGCATATCACTCGTTTTTGTGGATATTAATGGATACATTCCTCGAACAAGGTAATTGCCTGACATTGTTCCTATAAATTTAATGTTTTAATTTTAATATTTGCATTTTGTATTTATTCATTTGTCGTAGCATTCAACAGAATCATTGTTTTTGCCGTGAATTGTAATGAGACAGACAACATACACTAGGGTGTGTGTGCGAATTATGATTCACATTGGCAAACTATAAAATGTCTAGATATTACAGTTCTGTTATAAATTCACTATAAGTATCAGCAGATCGTCTGCTTTTTATTTAGTTTCAAAATGCATACAAGTATGATAATAAACTAATTAGGATTATAAGACCAAATATAAAGACGCACATTGACTAGTATCTACATACTGGTGAGTGGACATTAACCATGTGAATGTAACTTTATCGCGCAGTATTGTGACTTCCACCCCCACCTCGCTTCCGTGCAAGAATTCATTATGTTATAAGTTGTGTCATGCAAAATCCTTTTGGTTATGATTCCAATACATATTTAACTACGAGTAGAAAGTAGTTTTGATTTTCTAACTTGATGAAAACAAACCATAATCTCATTAATTCTAACAGACTTTAGCCCGTCACTTTCACGATTTTCAAAAAAGAAGCCCTGTCGCTGAACATCCGCCAGTCTGAGGATAAATGCTATTTAGGTTTGTTTTCACCGAGTTACAAAATCAAAACTACTTTCTACTGGTAGTAAAATATGTATTTGATTGATGGCCAATAGGATTTTGTATGACATAGCTTATAACGTAACAATTTCTCGCGTGGCAGCGAGGTGGGTGTCAATATAATACTACTTACAATATTATTGTTACTTCGACCACAACCTCACTTCCGAGGAAGAAATCGTTATGTTACAAGTTGTGTCATGGAAAATCTTTATGGTCATCAATCATATACATATTTTACTACAACTAGTAAGTAGTTTTGATTCTTTAACTTCCGTGAAGCAACTGAACACAAGTAAGATATCGTTTCAGGCTTCCACAATGGTAAACCGCACTCACAAACATAACCCATTTAGCACTACGAACTGCGGGGCCCTGTGGAAATCTGTGCATGGTGACACCATCGCCCGACCCTAGGAGCAATTGGCGACAAAGCAACAATTCGGCATGTCGTCGTTGATGTCGAGAAATCATCAAAATGATGAGCGTGCTACACACTTTCTATACAACTAACTGAAAATCGTCCCTCATATGACGTCACTGCAGTGCTCTGGCGACAGAGTTACGTAACCTGTCTGTGGTTTCGTTGGCGGGCGAGAGTGAAGCAGGCGACATTTTGGCGACTTTTAATCGCTCGGTATTAATTAACCACAAGTTTTTTAAAAATAAATTTGGTGTTCCGCATAAGTCTAACCACAAATCTTTCATATGTAATAGTTAAAAGAGTACAAAAAAAACAAAGTTTACTTGTTCTTTAAGCTACTCAAGGGAGTTAACAAAAGCTATTTAGGCCCCCTGAACTACCAGACAGACGAGGATGGTATTTAGGCCCCTGAACTACCAGACAGACAAGGATGGTATTTAGGCCCCCTGAACTACCAGAGAGACAAGGCTGGTATTTAGGCCCCCTGAACTACCAGACAGACAAGGATAGCATTTAAGTCCCCTGAACTACCAGAGAGACAAGGATGGTATTTAAGTCCCCTGAACTACCAGAGACAAGGATGGTATTTAAGTCCCCTGAACTACCAGAGAGACAAGGATGGTATTTAAGTCCCCTGAACTACCAGAGAGACAAGGATTGTATTTAAGTCCCCTGAACTACCAGAGACAAGGATGGTATTTAAGTCCCCTGAACTACAAGGATGGAGAGAGACAAGGATGGTATTTAAGTCCCCTGAACTACCAGAGAGACAAGGATGGTATTTAAGTCCCCTGAACTACCAGAGAGACAAGGATGGTATTTAAGTCCCCTGAACTACCAGAGAGACAAGGATGGTATTTAAGTCCCCTGAACTACCAGAGAGACAAGGATGGTATTTAAATCCCCTGAACTACCAGAGAGACAAGGATGGTATTTAAGCCCCCTGAACTACCAGACAGACAAGGATGGTATTTAAGCCCCCTGAACTACCAGAGAGACAAGGCTGGTATTTAGGCCCCCTGAACTACCAGACAGACAAGGATAGCATTTAAGTCCCTGAACTACCAGAGACAAGGATGGTATTTAAGTCCCCTGAACTACCAGAGAGACAAGGATGGTATTTAAGTCCCCTGAACTACCAGAGACAAGGATGGTATTTAAGTCCCCCTGAACTACCAGAGAGACAAGGATGGTATTTAAGTCCCTGAACTACCAGAGAGACAAGGATGGTATTTAAGTCCCCTGAACTACCAGAGAGACAAGGATGGTATTTAAGTCCCCCTGAACTACCAGAGAGACAAGGATGGTATTTAAGTCCCCTGAACTACCAGAGAGACAAGGATGGTATTTAAGTCCCCCTGAACTACAAGGAGATTTAAGTCCCCTGAACTACCAGAGAGACAAGGATGGTATTTAAGTCCCCTGAACTACCAGAGAGACAAGGATGGTATTTAAGTCCCCTGAACTACCAGAGAGACAAGGATGGTATTTAAGTCCCCTGAACTACCAGAGAGACAAGGATGGTATTTAAGTCCCCTGAACTACCAGAGAGACAAGGATGGTATTTAAGTCCCCTGATATTTAAGTCCCCTGAACTACCAGAGAGACAAGGATGGTATTTAAGCCCCCTGAACTACCAGAGAGACAAGGATAGCATTTAAGCCCCCTGAACTACCAGAGAGACAAGGCTGGTATTTAAGCCCCTGAACTATCAGCCAGACAGGTCTGGTATTTAAGCCCCCTGAACTACCAGAGAGACAAGGCTGGTATTTCAGTCCCTGAACTACCAGACAGACGAGGATAGTCTTTAAGCCTCTGAACTATCAGCCAGACAGGTCTGGTATTCAAGCCCCCATTTAAAGTGTATCTTTACACCCCAGAACCTACCAGACAGAGGAATGTGGCTTTGTCTTCCTTGCAGTTGACACATCGGGGATGGAAGAGACACATACAGCCAGCACACTGTAGAGTTGGGGGGATCCCCTCCAGCCCCGGGCACTGCAACGTGCACAGCTGACCCAGGGACCCTGGGGGAGACAGGGGCGTTGTCGTCTTGCTGAGAGCAGAAACATGTCATTAATTGAATACTGTATCAGCCTTCTCTTATGAACTAATATCCTTAGTCAACAAAGAGCAAAAGAAGTGTAATGTTGACTGCATATCTAGTTACATGGGTTGAGATGACATTGATGAAATAATCAGTCAGAAGGTATATCTGAACAAGTGTCTGGCACTAATATGGCAACATCCCTGAGCATATCCCTGTGACATGGAAAGGCGCTATATAAATGGCCTATTATTATTATTTATTTAACATCCCTAATGAAGAATGAGATAGACATATTTATTAGTTTTTATCTTTTGGTCACATAGAAGATTACCTTTTATGTGATGTAGTTAACGCATTAACAAGATTTTGAAAAGTGTCATGTGACCTTGAAAACAAGAGTCATCAGAAGATGACATATCCCCCCGGCCCTCACATATTTGAAAAAACAAATCATCTGACAGTTACTTTAAGTCCAGCTTGACTTTTTTTAATGACTTTTTTCAAAACTAAGTCAGAAAATAATAAATCACAAAAATCAGCAAATAGCAAAAGGCACCACTTTGGGATCTGCCTCACATATCTGCCAAGTTTTGCTGAAAGATATTAAGAAGTTTTCCAGTTGTGCTCCGGAAACGAAACCCACCCCTCCCTTTTGAGAATAAGTCCGAATCATTTCTATGGAAACCGAGAAAATAATAAATCACAACAAGAAGACAAAGTCATCAATATCCCCCGCAATGGCAAAATACTCTTCATGATTATGTCTACGAGTTATGATTATGTCAAATATTTAGGTGTGTATATAGAAAAGTGGAAGGAGAGTATTGAAAGGTTTTTAAAGTTCTGCTCCAGAAAGGAGCACTATCACCAATTTCAGTCTATGTCAAACTTGTTGCCATGGAAATGCCCCCCATTTTTTTTTTCAGAATTCCGAAACTACCAAAAGGCACCAGTACACCACCAGATCTATCTATGTGCCAAGCTTGGTGAAGAAATAGTGAATGGTTTTAGAGTTCAGCTCCGGAAAAGAGCACTACCACCAATTTCAGGCTAAGTCAAACTTGTTGCCACAGAAAAGCCAAAAATGTTTTATTCAGAATTCAAAAACTACCAAAAGGCACCAGTACACCACCAGACCAATCTATGTGCCAAGTTTGGTGAAGAAAAAATGAACGGTTTTAGAGTTCAGCTCCGGAAAAGAGCACTACCACTTATTTCAGTCCAAGTCGAACTTGTTGCCATGGAAACGCCAAAAATATTTTATTCCAAATTCCAAAACTACCAAAAGGCACCAGTACACCACCAGATCTATCTATGTGCCAAGATTGGTGAAGAAATAGTGAACGTTTTTAGAGTTCTGCTCCGGAAAAGACAAATGTGCATGGACGGACGGACGGACGCACGGACGAAGTCCATTATAAAAATCTGCAAATAGCAAAAGGCACCACTTTGGGATCTGCCTCACATATCTGCCAAGTTTTGCTGAAAGATATCAAGAAGTTTTTGAGTTGTGCTCTGGAAACGAAACCCACCCCTCCCTTTTGATAAGTCCGAATCGTTTCCATGGAAATCGGGAAAAATATAAATGCCAAAAATCTGGAAATAGCAAATGGCACCACTTAAGGTTCTGTTTGATATATCTACCTAGTTTTGTTGAAAAATATTTAACGGTTCTTGAGTTGTGCTCCGGAAATGAAACCCACCCCTACTTTTGAGACTAAGTCCGAATCGTATCCATGGAAACCGGGAAAAATAAAAATGCCAAAATCTGCAAATAGCAAAAGGCACCACTTAAGGTTCTGTTTGATGTATCTACCAAGACTTGTTGAAAAATATTAAACGGTTTTTGAGTTATGCTCCGGAAACGAAGCCCATCCCTCTTTAAGATTAAGTCCAAAACGTTTCCATGGAAACCGAGAAAAATAAAAATGACAATAATCTGTAAATAGCAAAAGACACCACTGTAAGTTATGTTTGACATATCTAACAATTTTTGTTGAAACATATCGAAAGGTCTTTGAGTTATGCTCCGGAAACAAAATGATTATGGACGGATGGACGGACGAGGCGACGACTATATCCCCCGCATTACATGCCGGGGGGATAATAAGGTCAGAAACAAAGTGTCATGGTGACTTTGAAAATAAGGTCAAAGTCACCCCAATGTAGGCTGTCACAAATTTGAAGACATTGGGTACAACTGTTCATGAGATATCGTGTTAACAAACACTGAGACGGATGTTCGGACAGATGTACAGACGGACGGACGGACGGACGGGGACAACTATGAGCTGTGAGTGACATTGTCATACTCGCTACCTCTGAGGCTTCAAGCTTGGGACACGTGGTGTTGTGCTCTTCCTTGCTGTAGCCTTTTTCCGTGGCGGAGCAGAGCTGGTGATGGAGCTGTTGGCATCGTGATCACTGTCTGTGTCCTCCACGTCACTGTGGGAACGCTTGATGCTGACAGCAGATGAAGCAAACTGGACAGTGGGGCTCAAGTTGACATCTGTATCTCTTTCCTCCTCCTCCTCCTCCTCCTCTTCCTCCTCCTCCTCTCTCTCAATCACAACCTCTGGGGGAGGGTAGGACAGCTTGGAGGGACGACCTGGTCTACGTTTGGGTGGCAATATACTGTCAGACACCGGTGTTGAATTCCATGTCACCACTGGACTGTCTGTCTTAACGCTACCAGTTGAAAACACAACCTAGTTAGTCTTAAACATGTTTATATTTCATCGGCAAATGGCAATACTAACAGATTTAATAAGTGATGTATGCCTCCTAAAATGAGCTGTAAGAAGATTGCAAGGTTATCTGGTGAATATACTCTTAAATATTTTTACTTGCCTTTATTCTTCTATGATAAAATTTGTTCATTACTCTACAGCACAAACATAACCTGAAAATATGGATCTATAACTAGGGGTTGGTATTGCACAGAATTTTCATATTGCAATATATTGCGATGCGAAAGCATGTATTGTGATATGTATTGCAATATATTGCCTGAAGTATTTTTAAACAAAAAACTACTGATAACTGAGTTAATGCTTGATTTATAGAGCAAAACCACAACAAAATCACTATGCTTGATTAACCTTTAATAACAACTTTTAATCATGATAAAATAAAAATGTGAAGAATATTTGGCACAAATGAAACAAGGAAATAACCGAAGATTTTCGAGTGTTACGAAGTTTCCGAATGCAAGTCAAAATTGAAAATTTTAACTACAAATTGTATATTTATATACTTATCCTATCTCACGACTTGCACCTCTCTCTCTTCATTCGACCATGAGTGGAAACGAATTAAAACTTTGCTCCAGGCCTACCTTGTCCCTGTCCCCGTGCTGTGCGTGCCTTCCTGTCTCAGTCATGCTCACTAGTCCATGACAACACGAGGCATGCGCAGTCCTCACCCACGTGATCACCTCACATACTCATTCTCGATCTTGGAGCCATAAAAGGACAAAACCGGAACGGTGGTAATCTATGCAGTGGGGAGGTAGGGAGGGACTTTATCGCGTGAGATAGGATAAGTATATAAATATACAATTTATAGTTAAAATTTTCAAATTTTTAAACTTATCCTATCTAACGACTTGCACTTATCCCACGGTAGGAAGGTGGGTCAGAGATTACCCGAAGTTGAAGCGATAACAGCTAAGTGTTATGCCCAAACAACCGTAGGAAGCAACTACAAGGTAGGCCAATAACTACCAAGTTACTACGTGCGAGGGTTAGTGCGAACCCATTGACTTACTAAGCACAAATGCTCCCAGGGACCGAAATTCCCGAGCAATGTGGTGTTCAGTCACTACCTTCACAAAGTGAAAGGACGTAGCTTAGCGAGTGTAATCAGTCGCATCGCCACGATTTCCAAGGTACCCCCGTAATAAAAGTCTAACGACTAGTATCGGGCCAGCCCCTGCTTGAAACAACCCCACAGACACCGCCCCGAGGAGGGTGAAAGGGTAATTGAATCGGTAAAACTCACAATTTTAACGTTCAGTACCACAACATCATCTTATGACTTCCACTACTTACCACAGTAAGATCACATAGATGTGTATAGGCACTTAGGAGCATGAACGCTCTGAAGTGTAACACTTCGGGAAGGACTCACTTCACTGTCTTAATTACTCCGTGGAGCAGAGGACAGTAAGTGAGGTGGCGACTCTCTATAGTCTCAAACAAATGAGAGAAGAAATATAAATCCCGGAAGAAACAAAAACATAAATCAGAAAAAAGTTTTTCAGATTTATTCAGATTGTACACAAGCAGAAACGATCGCGACTTGGGATCAACTGCACAGTGGGATCCATATAGCATCGTAGCACAAGGAAGTTCATTATCTGCGATGTTGTGCGCTGATAACTGCTGGGCAGGGACGAGTGGTCCAAACTGATGAAGGCCTTGAATATCCGTCACCGACACATCTCTGAGGTAATGAGGCGAAAATACCGTGTCAGATGCGCCAAAACAACCCTCCATTATGGCAGTTAACGAGCAGTTGCTATGCAACGCCATAGTAGAAGCCAATGCCCTGGTTTCATGAGGGTTGACTGCCGTAGGTGGTGGCAAACCGGCAAAAGTGTAGGCTCGTAGTATTGTAGCTCGTAGCCAATATGAGAGTGTTGTCGCGAGAGACTTCGCCTTGGAAGCAGTAGACAAGGGTATAAACAGTCTCTTACGCAGACGGCGGCCCTCTTGCGATGCTTTAAGGTAAATGCGAAGTGCTCTGACTGGACAAAGAGACAGATCTTCGACATCTGCTGGACCCAATATGGTAGACAAAGGCGGGATTGTAAAAAGACGATCAGGTTGACCCGGCAACTGTTTTTGAGACAAAATCCCAGCGCAATCCCAAAATTACCTTGCCATGTCTACTCTGTTCAAAACGGACACGGTTGACATCTAGAGCATGCAGTTCTGATATACGTGCCGCTGTAGCCAAGGCAATAAGAAAAAAGGTCTTGAATGAAACCTGTTCAAATTCCTTGTCCTGTAAGGGTTCATAATGCTCGGACACTAAGTGGCGCAGGACCACGGATAAGTCCCAAGCTGGTGGGCCGAAATTTCCTGGATTGGTCGGCTAGCTTAAAAGAGCGAAGCAAGTACTGCAGTTCCGGTACTGTCGAAACCTTCGTACCAGAAGTCGTGGCTAGGACCGAATTAATAGCCGCCAAGTAGGTGGCTAAAGTGGAACCCTTGAGTTTCCTTGTAGCCCACAAATGTTGTAAATATTACGCAACAACCTGGGGCGAAGCAGTAGTAGGGGAAGCGATCCCTCTGACCCGACAATAACATTCAAATTTCTTCCACTTATCGTCATACAAAGAACGTGTAGACGTACGATGAGCTGCAGTGATAGCTGAGGCCACTCTGTGAGAATAACCTTTGGCTATTAGTGATTTCTGCAAATGTGCCATACGTGAAGATTGAACGTCTGTGGCGACTCGTGATACACGCCCGATTGCGGATGAACTAGTAGGTCGTCCCGCACGGGAAGAGGAATGCTGCTTTGACTGACTAGACTTTTTAGGCCGACGAACCAACTTCTCGCCGGCCAAAAGGGCGCTACCAAAAGCAGTTGTACTTTGTTGGTTAACAGAACTTTCTGAATGACCTTGTGAAGTAGAGCCCGGAGGTGGAAACGCATAAGCGTTGAGACCTTCCCAGGGAATGGCCAAGGCGTCGTGATCCCAAGCTAGTGGATCTGGAATTGGAGACACGAATCTCGGCAGTTGGGAGTTGAACCGAGTGGCAAACAGCTCGACACTCGTTCCAGAGAGCGGGTAAATTATCGTCCGAAAGATCTTGGGCAGGAGTTGCCACTCTGTGGGCGACGGGCGACTGGAACGAGACAGAGCGTCGGCAATCACGTTCTTTGTTCCGGGGATGTGCCTGGCTCTTGCGACGATGTTGAGAGAATCTATCAGAAGATAGAATCGAAATGTCCACTGTAGGAGTGCTGCTGAACCCGTCGACCCTAGATGATTGATGTACCACACTACCGTCGAGTTGTCGGATTGTATCAGCAGGTGAGACATCTTGAGTAGAGCCGCCAGTAATACTGCCTTGAACTCCAGAATGTTTATGTGGAGTGACTTGTCTTCTGACGACCACTGCCCTGCCACTTGATGCTGAAGGAAGTGGGCACCCCAACCTTCTAGAGAAGCGTCCACAAACAACTGATGGGTTGGACTGAAGGGCACCAAAGAGACGCGGCGCAAACATTCTGTACGTTGAGCCACCAACGCAGAATTGGACATAGTTCCCTGGGTAACCGAGTCAACTCCTGAGGGTTGTTGGTTTGAAGATGAGGGCGCAGAAATAACTGAAGCGGGCGAAGCTGCAGTTGACCTCTGTAAGTCAGAGCCTGAGCTGACGTTAAGACGCCCAGCAACTCCTGCCACTGGCGTAGAGTTCTGGGGTGATCCAAGGCTAGCGGAACCAGACGCTGAATTTTGGTCCACCTGTCCTGGGGAACAAACAACTTGGCTTGTTCTGTGTCGAAGACTGCTCCTATGAACTGAAGTCTGCGAGTCGGTGTTAACTCCGACTTCTCGTAATTGAGGAGCCACCCTAACTGTTTGAGCAGCCTGATGGTGAACTCCCGATGGATTTGAAGAACGATTGGATCCTGTTGTGCCTGAATACAATCGTCGATATAGCTTTCGAAGGTCACTCCCCCGAGAATGCAGGAAACTGCTGATGGGTTTGGTCACCCGAGTAAAAAGCCACGGGGCCGTAGAGATTCCAAATGGAAGGACTTTCCATTGGAAGTGATGGTCCCCGAAGGTGAACCTCAGATACTTCCGATGATCTGGGTGAATCGGAATGTGCAGGTATGCGTCTTGAAGATCGAGGGATATGAGGAAATCCCCTTTCTTCAGAATTGAGCGGAGAAGACTGACTGATACCATGCGAAAATGAGGCGGTTGTTGCAGGAATCGGCGTTGAATGTCTTCATATTGAAGATGAGACGCAACTTGCTGGAGTTTTTCTTTGGCACCAGAAAAATCGGGGAGTAAAACCCTGGAGTTATGCACACCGGATCTAGGCATTCTATCGCATGTTTCTCCAGTAGAGTTGAGATTGTAGCCGAAAGGACTGCAGCCCGATCCAGAGGATATATTTGCTGCAAAGGTTGAATGGTGAGGGGTGGATCCCCGACCACAGGCAGTCGATAGCCGTGAATGAGAGTCATTGTGACAAATGGATCTCCCAGAAACTCCCAGTTGGGGGCAAACAGACCTAACCTCCCTCCTACAGGGGAATCGAACACTGGAACCACCGGAACCGGCAGAACCAATCCGAGCTCTGACTTCCGTGAGTCACTGTTTGGACTGTCTATTTCCAGTTCCAGTGTCGGGTCGAAAGGGGCGACATGAAGCGGAACCATGAAATGGCTTCTTGCCCCTGCCACGTGCTTGAGAAGGCGCCGTGCCTTTCATACAGTCCCGAAGGTCTGGGTTGGAAGGGGTAAATTGTGCGGTTCGGCGATGCGGCATAGAATCCTGGAGCTGAATTTTTTGCAATTCCAAGAGATCGACAGATACTTGAAATTGGTTAAGACGGTCCACCTTGGATGCGACTTCTGCAATAGCCCCACTGGACACCGTATCCCCCGACCATGGCTGACGAAATAATTTAGCCTTGAATCTATCTTCCCATGAGGAGAAATTCAACGGGCCCCGACGGCGTATGGCAAGTAAATAGCCAAAGAAATGAGACAGTTGCTCTAAGACCACCTGGAACTGGTCTAAAATCAGAGCCATACTTCCCCTGATGTATGCGTCCTGGTCCGTATAGGCATGATTGACAGCCTCGCATACAGCGTCAACAGCGAAATAATGCAGCTGCTGGAAGGGATAGAATGGCGAACCGTAGTATCTAAGTGAGCCAATTCCCTGTCCTCCACAAAAAACGGCGAACTGGAGCGCTTGCCACAGACCATGGAAATGTCATCATCAACTAAAGGTGCCGCTGACCAAAGTTGAACACCATGAGTATCGCCGTCGATGGTCGGAACCTTGGAGCAGACAAACCATCCTTCATCCTTCTAAGCTTGTTGAAAGCCGCGTCAAGAGAAGAAGGTAATTGTCGAAGACATGGACGCAAAGGAAGTGTGATACTGGAAATATTAGTCATGGCATAAGACGTGGCCAAATCATCTGGAGATTTACTAAGAGGTAACTGAAGTTTTTCAACTATCCAGGCTAGCACGCGTGAGCGGTTCAACAACATCAAAACTGCCATCAGGAGTGGAGATGTCTGACTGCCCAGGTGACGGTAAAGTAGTCTGAGATCGAGTCCGATCCCTCAAATCCACAGAACGATTATTGCTAAGTACGGCAGACGATTGTTGAACATGTGAGGACGAACGACACTGATTCCAAGCCGACGTAACAGCACGAAGCATGGTGTCTAAATGCGGCGCTGGAGAGGAATCAAGAGTAGGATTCCAAGACTCAGCAATAACCTGTGACCGAGGCAAAGTAGAAGTGGTATGGCGGGAAGGTGAACGCTGATCCACTGAAGCATAACGCTGCCTAGCAGGTGAAACCACCCCCACAGAACGACGTTGCTGAGGTGTACTATCATGTAAAGGCACTGACCGTAAGACGTCACTAGCACTAGGCTGGCTAGAGGGGATATTCTGATTCACCTGAGGTGAATGAGACCGACTTCTAGTATCCCTCTGACGCAAAGACACCATGGCGGTTAGGTGAACCGGATCGAAATGGCGAACCACTTCGACTAGGTGAGACTGAACGACTACGGGAATCAAAACGCTGTGGTGAATTGATTCGACTATGAGATGGTGAGTCGAACGGAAGCACATGTTGAGGTGAATTGAGTCGGGAATGTGAACCGGTTCGTCCTGGTGAACCAATTTGAGTACGTGAAACAGTACGGCCAGACGAACCCATTCGACTACGTGAATCAGTTCGATCAACTGAACCCATTCGATTACGTGAATCAGTTCGGTCAGGTGAACCCATTCGAGTACGTGAATCCGTTCGGTCAGGTGAACCCATTCGAATATGTTCTGGTGAGCCGACTCGGCAGGGTGAGCCAGCAGGGTGAGCCGAGGGGAATGTGAACTGATTCTTCCTGGTGAACCCATTCGATCACGTGAATCAATTGGGACTGGTATATTGGAAGGCCGGAAAAAGCTCGAGCGTGAACGAGATCTAGAACAACTCCTCCCAGCAGTGGAAGAACGCATTCGCACCTTCGCACCAGCTGGCGACTCAACTCGTGTGGGTGAATTGTTTCGGTGAGATGAAACCGTGGGAAGGGGAGAACGGGTATGTTCCAACCGGCCCGATCCCCGCTTCGATGATGAATGCTTAGAAGTTCTCGAAGTCTGTGAACGTTCCGAAGAAACAGACCTACGAGATAATGTAGATCGCAGGTCTTGCGTAGAAGAAATATCCGTCATTACCACCCTGGTACGCTCATGAGAACTTAAACTGGGTGAGGGAAGCTCCCCAAAAAGCCTTTTAACGTTCTCAGATAAATAGGAATCCAACGAAGCGTTCATAAAATCCTTGTCAGGAGAGACGGGCGATTTAGACCGGTGAGCAGTGAGGGTGGGGCGATCTACACATTGTTTCTTAGCGGGAGATGGACCAGACCCCGCAGGAGCATTCCTGGCCCTATCTGCCAAACGTCTGGCACAAGCACGTTTGTAAGATTTACACGCCTCATTAGACAGGCCTGAACACTTAGGACAACGTGTGTCCCAATCACAAAAACCCACACAATCAACACACGATGTGTGTGGGTCCCATGCTGAAAAGACTTTATTACAACGGGCGCAAAACTTTCGTTTACTGGCCTGAACAGGCTTAACCATTTTGAGCAATTCTCAGACGAAAAAAATTTCACGTCCACTCAGTGGAGCAACAAGAAAGAGAATTAGTATGTGAGGTGATCACGTGGGTGAGGACTGCGCATGCCTCGTGTTGTCATGGACTAGTGAGCATGACTGAGACAGGAAGGCACGCACAGCACGGGGACAGGGACAAGGTAGGCCTGGAGCAAAGTTTTAATTCGTTTCCACTCATGGTCGAATGAAGAGAGAGAGGTGCAAGTCGTGAGATAGGATAAGTTTAAAAATTAACGGTTTTCAACCAGCGTGTCGCAATACGTATCGTTTTCATGTCTGAACCGGTAAATACCGGTAAACCGGTTATATTGCGCAGCCCTATCTATAACCCACATTCATATGAAAATCACTTGATAATCTCTTGCCCATGTTGATCATTGGATTGAATGTGATTTAAATACATAGCTTTCATATACAACAATGTCAGGGACCCACCTAACTCGGAATGAAGATGTATTCTCGGGACTTGGCGAAGTTGAGCGCAAAAAATGACCTCGACCCGGAGATGCACCCCGACCTCGACCTCGACCTCTCCCCCTTCCTCGACTTCTCCCAAACCCTGCACCACCTCGCGACTTTTTCTGGAAACATTTCCTTCCACTGTTCGCTTGCCTCATGACTTCAAAGGGAGGTTCAGAGATACACTTCCGGGCAAAGGAAAAGTTGTCGACAGATAATGGGGACTTAGTCCTTGACACTGTTGAAGAAAAGTAAACAAATGCAATCTAGCATCTGTAACACATCCCATCATACTTGTGCCCATTCCTTGTTTCTAATACACAGTGTTGACACAAACTGGACCTATCAGATAAACCACGATGATAATGAACATGCTTACATCAAACAGACAGATATAACTTGCAGCTTTTTTTTATGGCAATCACTTACTGTGAAAATGAAAAAATGTGCATAACAAACTACAGCACCAAAATTACAGGTTCCTTTGAGTTGGTTATTTGTGTAGTGTACTGTATCTGGCATCTAGGAAGTTTCTGGGGATAAAATCAGGATTGGGATCAGTGTTAATGCTTGACCTGGATAATTGACAAAGATGCTTACAACATGAGGTGAGGTCATGCTTTTCGCATACACTTTCTGGTGAGGTGTCATGCTTTGAGCATACTGTTCATGGTTACTATGCTTTGAGCATACCCTCTATGGTGAGGTGTCACGCTTTGTGCATACTGTTCAAGGTTTATGCTGGAGCATACCCTCTATGGTGAGGTGGCATGCTTTGAGCATACTGTTCATGGTTACTATGCTTTGAGCATACCCTCTATGGTGAGGTATCATGCTTTGAGCATATTGTTCAAGGTTTATGCTTGAGCATACCCTCCATTGTGAGGATTAACTTTGTAGATACCCTCTATGGTGATGTGTCATGCTTTGAGCATACCCTCTATGGTGAGGTATCATGCTTTGAGCATACTGTTCAAGGTTTATGCTTGAGCATACCCTCCATTGTGAGGATTAACTTTTTGCATACCATCTATGGTGAGGTGTCATGCTTTAAGCATACTGTTCATGGTTACTATGCTTTGAGCATACTGTTCATGGTTACTATGCTTTGAGCATAGGTTTATTTGCATACCTCATGGTGAGGTATCATGCTTTAAGCATACTGTTCATGGTTTATGCTTTGAGCATACCCTCCATTGTGAGGATTATGCTTTGAGCATACCCTCTATGGTGAGGTATCATGCTTTGAGCATACTGTTCAAGGTTTATGCTTGAGCATACCCTCCATTGTGAGGATTAACTTTTTGCATACCATCTATGGTGAGGTGTCATGCTTTAAGCATACTGTTCATGGTTACTATGCTTTGCTTAACTTGAGCATACTGTTCATGGTGAGGGTTACATATGCTTTGAGCATACCCTCTATGGTGAGGTGTATCATGCTTTGAGCATACTGTTCAAAGGTTTATGCTTTGAGGCCACTATACCCTCCATTCCATCAGAGCAACCCTTAAAATCTGAAGTTTACAGCATACCAGTTATGGTGAGGTGTATAAATCAACATATCTGAACAAGTTCATCATACGTTATATTCACACAACATCCCCACAGTATGGCACAGTGTGATGAACAGACACTGGGATACAGATACAGTCAAGTCATCACAGTTTGTACTTACAATAATCGGCAATCTGGACCATTGACCTCTGGAAGTAAATGCATCAACCTCAATAAGTTCAATAGATACGACATTACTCACTTATGATGATGTAAATAAGAAAATCTTACTACTGTTGGTAGATCCTATAGCTCTAATGGACCATTGTGTATTCCAATTACTGGTATAGCATTTCAGTCTGTCTTCAGCCAAGGCAGTGAATGCACAAAGGCATATTAAAATGTGTTGCATGTTAACATGTTTATTTTGTACATGTTCTAGTTGTGTGAATTTGAAAAGACCACTGTACTAAGATGTACACGAGAATACTATGCAATTTGTGAAAAAAACTACATCATCTGACATCTGTGTCAAAATCAGAGCTACAGATAACTTTTTGGGTCATTGAGTTATGTACTCGCTTGTGTTCAACTCAATTGGGTATCCTTATTTCCTTTGAGTAACACACCTGGCTGTCCCTTTCTCTGCACTCATCCCTCGTAACAAATAGTGAACTGTGTCAATAGTTTAATGATAGATTGTTAAACAACTTTTTTATTTTTAGGACAAAAATTCTGCAAAAACATCACAGAGTGGGTATGATGTTTTGATTATGATCAGCGTTTCATTGAGTATTTTATGTTTATTAGTTTTCGAGTTAGATTGCAATTCATCGGTCCGCTTTTGAGCCAAACGGACTATAGCCATCGGTACGCAAGCAAAGATTTGACATTTTCGTGTGTACGCATGTAAGATCACATTTTATTGGGTATTTACAAAACTTCAAGCGTACTTGTACGCAATAGACTTAATAGGAATTGAGTTTTCTCATAAATATTTGCGTAATTTACGCAGATATGCGGCTTATCTGTACCTCTGCAAAATTACCTCATTTCTAGCACAGCGTATGCAGAACTTACCAGTTTAGATCCTTCTGGGGGATGGTAGTAGGTGTCCATCTGTGTGTTGGATCCCTCCACCACTGCCCGCATCACCACCTCCCTCCTCCAACCTGCAGAACACAGCCACTCTCACCATGTTACACTCTACACCATCTACCTATTGGCAAGGTCTAACACCCTCTGGACCTGTCGCCCTGTAGGTTCTTTTTATGCTTAAAATAGGGATGAAATGATCAAACAAAAAGTAATTACTGTTAATAATTTCTATGAAAACTAGTTCTAAAACATCAAGAGTAAACAAACCCATCTCCCCTATTTTTTGCCTTTAGGATGGTTGATGTTGAAAATAAGTGAAGACTTCCTCACTGTGATTGGGCATGGGGTACTATTAGTATCACCACTGATTATGGATAGTTGATGGTGAAAAGGATTTTGTGTTAGCATGACAGCTGAGATACAGCATTTCTGGTAATGATGTAAGAGATTTTGTATTTGTAGGAATTAATCAAGTGTGGTCCAGACAATCCAGTGATTGATATTACAATCAATCTTCCAAGCTGTCAGGGTATGGTGACAGAATGAGCCAAGTCACTGCACCAGCCCACAAGACCCATGCGTGAGTGAGTGAGTTTAGTTCTATGCCACTTTTAGCAATATTCCAGCAATATCACGGCAGTGGACACCAGAAATGGGCTTCACACATTGTACCCATGCAAGGAATCGAACCCGGGTCTTCGGCATGACGAGCGAACGCTTTAACCACTAGGCTACCCCACCACCCCCACAAGACCCATAAGTAGCCTCTTTTGGCTTTTTGGAACTTATTCCAACCATGAACACACATGGGAATAATGACCATGCTAAGCTTCTGTACTCACCATAATCAAAGGGCACCCTCAGTAGTGACATATCCAGCTTAGTCTCATGTTGACGTCGAGGTGCTGAAACAAAGGAGAATGTTGTCTGTATTACCTCTTCCATCCTTGTTATCAACCCTACATTGATTCAGGACAACAGTACAAACAAATAAATGCCATGTGATAAATGTTAGTTGACATTAGTATGTAAACATGATAAAGTTGAAACATAACAATGACAAGATTCAAATACAGATTTCAATAATAACGACATCCATGGAAACGAAGGAATAAGATAAGAAAGACGACATGTAAGTTCGGCTATAATGTCGCATTAAATTCAGTTGCAATGAGTACTTATGTCTAACCCAAAATTACAATGACCACTGTTCCAATGCAGGGCTTAACACCTAATTACTTACTTGATGTTCTCTTCTTTTCCTTCCATTCAGCATCAATCATCAAACCCATGTCATCCTCTTCTGTTACAAATGAGGCACCAAAGTCTTTTGATTTGCGCCCGCGTCTGTTGGGTCTCCCCACTACATCAGCTTCTGATTCTGTGTCACTATCGTTGTCATGCTCAGCAATTTTGTTGAGATTCGCTGCAGTGAGAAAGGAGTCTTCCGCTGCCACCCCTCCATTTTCATCCTCCTCAGCATTGTCCATCTCCACCACTGCCTCCCCTCCCTCCTCCGCTGTTACAGTGCTCACAGTATCCTTATCATTGTCATTATCATCTTTCACACTATCACTTTTTCTTTCACCATCCTCAACCTCCTCCTTCTCCTCCTCCTCCTCAGAAAATAACTCTGTCTGAGAGGCAGAAATGGTAACACCCGGGGGCTTTGTTGAGCTGCCCTTCTCCTGTACCCCTACAACTTCTTCCTGGGCACCCTTCCCTACTCCATCGATATCATTTGAAGTATCTCCACCACCTCCTCCACCACTCACAGGTTTCTCCTCTTCAGCAACTCCTTGTACTTCTGCATCAGTGTTTTCATGTCCATGTGTATTCTGTACGTCATCTGCCACCTGTGATCCTACAGGTTTGTTCACTTCCTCTCCAGGTGGGCCTCTACAGTCATCATTCCCTTCCTCACCTTTAGATTCCTGACCTTCAGCAACATTGTCTTTGCTTCCACCTTCATCCCCTTCTTCAACATCCATGCCCTCCTCATCTACTGCAGTTTCCACATCTCGATTAGCTGGTGTGCTTTCAGACTGTGCCATGTCTGGTGCGGTTTCCATACTTTCTTCATCTGGTGCCGTTGCCATACTTTCTTTATCTGGTGACGTCTCCTTACTTACTTCATCTGGTGCCGTTGCCATACTTTCTTCATCTGGTGCGTTGCCATACTTTCTTTATCTGGTTCCGTTGCCATAGTTTCTTCATCTGGTGCCGTTGCCATACTTTCTTTATCTGGTGCGGTTTCCATACATTCTTTATCTGGTGACGTCTCCTTAATTTCTTCATCTGGTGCCATCTCCTTACTTTCTTCATCTGATGTTGTCTCCATACTTTCTTTTTCTAATGTGATTTCAACAGTTTCTTTATCTGGTGTACTTTCTTCACCTTCATTAGCATCTATTTTCTCTTCCTCAATTGCTGCTATTTCAACACTTTCCTTTTGTGGTTCTGCATCTGGTTCTACACCTTCCTTCATATGTTCCAGATCCTCCTCCTCCTCGTCATTACACTGTGGAGACAGTGTCAGTATCATGTCATCCCCATCCTTGCCAGACTCCTTAGTTGCTCCTGCATCTTCAGCTTCGTCAGCTTCTGCTGATACAGGAGGATCAGGAGGCTTCTCTGAGAAATAGTCATGATCTGAGGGAACAGGTTCTATGTGGTCTGTTTGTGCTGGTGCTTGGGTGAAGTAGTCATGGTCACCTGTTGAGGATTGGGGAGTACCCACAGCTTCCATAATGACACCAGTCACTACGTCAGTGCCAACAGTCTACATGTGCACTTAAATATTGGCAAGATGGACCACTCATAAAACAGCACCTTTAACAGTCATTCTTGCTGAAAATATACAAATTGTAGCTCATGATAGTGACTTGTTTCCTTAACATAATTTCTAATGTTTTTTTTGTGTGTTGGTTTAATGCTACAGTCAACAACATTTTAGCTAGAAGACAGCAGTGTCTACTGAACAGCGCCTCACAAAAAGCAACACCACATCTAAGGCGATGCATTTATTAAAAACCTTCAAAATCAATGTTTATTTACATACCCTGTCGATAATGCAACCTTGAACAAGGCTCCAGATAAGGGACGTATCGGCGTATGTACGGATATAAAATATGCACGATACGGTAGGAAATAATTTAGAAAACATAGCAAATACGCACTGCAGAAATGGTGTACGGTCTTAGAATTATTTACAGACGTATTGATCTGAAAAAGTATTGTTTTATTGGGTTTTTTACCTGTTCACACAAGAGTAGCAATGTTGTGGTGCATATATGAAACGAAACACAAGCTTACTGATACTCCATTAAATTCCATTCAGTACTCTAAATGTACACTTAAGGTTTTCCAGTACTCCAATATTGAAAATATAAGAAGTACGTACTAAGTACTAAGTACGATGTTGAAAAATTATCTGGAGCCCTGCTTAAATATGTTTGGACCAAGTCTCTGCTACTTCATAGTTTACTTCATTACAACAATATAATAAAAGGCACAACTTCACACATTTTCGACAATATTTTGGCCTATATTATATATATTCGGGCACATACACTCACTTTAGCTCCTATTGATGCAATAAAAGACTCACTCACTCCTTACAATTTGCCTGAAATCAATAATTGAAACCTCGAGGCGAACAGCTTCCAAACAGAGAACACTTGCCACATATGGAATATGTAAACAATTGCTCCGTACACTGAAAACTGTCGCACGCGGTGTTGTCACTGTTTACCGAACTAGTTTCAATCACAATTTTTTTATAGGATAATCATAAAGAGCACTCCAAGGGACATAACTCTATGGGGTTTGCTTGAAATAATGTTCGGCCAGTAGAGAGCGCAAGAGTCGATTTAATGCAACATTGCATTAATTCATTCGAAATTTTTAATGTAATATTGTAATCTAATTACGTTAAAAAATCCTGAACAATTTATATGGTAGCTACTGAGGACTGATAGTTAGTATTATTGAGAGAAATGCATTATTCATTTTTACAGAAGTGTGGTGTGAAATAGTGCGTTTAAATACTTATTCATGGACAATTTCAGATGATCTCCCTCTGATGGCGGAGACTTTTTTCATTATCTCAGCTGGCTGAGAAATTGTAATCCTGGCGAGGCTCATTTAAACTTTACTTACAGAATATGTATAGGTATAGTATGACGGGTACAATGGATACCTATACCAAAATAGTTCGTGAACAGTTATTTAACAAAATGTTAACTCTTATTGTCAAATATATCTCGAAATATGTATATCTCGATGGCCACTGGACATGGCCAGTCGAAAACTATGTGAGTCCTTCTACCACATGCAAACCCTCTAATTCTTTGTTATTTACAAATGGTAAATAATCAGGAAGCTGCTGTTGCTTTAGTTCGAACACTGCTATTCTCACACCTGGACTATTGCAATAGCCTCCTGTGTGGTGTGTCGCAAGAATCTGTTTCAAGGCTACAAAAAATACAAAATACTGTAGGACTAATTGTGTGTCTTGCTCCAAAGTTTGCACATATACAGCCACATCTACGATCCCTACACTGGCTGCCCATCTCAGCTAGAATTGAGTTTAAAGTTCTTGTACTCGCATACCAGTGCCTTAACGGTATCGCGCCATCCTACTTGTGTGAACATGTAAGCCAGTATAATCCAACCAGAATTCTCAGATCCCAGTCCCAAATTCTGTGCGCAGTGCCTAGATGCAGACTGAAACGATTTGGATTCAGATCATTTGCCTACCAATCAGCTGTTCTATGGAATTCTCTGCCTGAAGATCTCAAAACAGCCCCAAGTCTGCTCTCCTTCAAAACCCTCCTCAAAACGTTTTTATTTAAGAAGTACTTTGTCTAGACTCTCACCCAAATAACTTTACTTGTAGCGCCATGAGCATACCAGCTGGCGTGGAGTTTGGCACATTACTAATTCACTCATTATTATTATATCTGGACCAAAGAACCCATCATGGCTTGCTCAAGGCCATTTCTAACTCAGATCTTTTAGGGGCAATGTCTTATGAAAAAGCATTTTCACATCAATGTGATTCTGTATTTATTGTAAATTCATGATTAACTTCGGCAATGAATTATTTTATTATTATCATTTGGACACAACAAAGAAGTAACAAGTCTGCATGTTATACGATGATGGTACATAAATTTCCATGACCAAGTTTCTAGGTGTGGTAGGGATGACAACTTCATCGGCCATCTATTGATCTCACTGTCACTGTCCAGATCAGTATTGTCATAAGAGCTCTAATAAGACATTCACTATTATAATCTTATTCCACTTTACACATTTCTCAGTTTTCACGTGTCAACAGCAGTCATGTGATCATTAAGGGTGAAACGGTACGCTCTTACCACGGTACAGTACTGTTGCAGTATGAGGCCTTTGATTCGGTATATAATTGACAAGCGCCAAACCTTACACTGTTTAATAACATGGAAAAGAATAACCATAATCTTTGTTATTCAGAATGAACAAAACTGTCATTCTATGACTAGAGACAAATGACGGTACGAAAAACTGAAAATACCAATTTTTTTTATTGCATTATGGTATACCGAACCAAAGGCAAAATAGCGTGTTTCTAGTGATAGATCTATGAGATTTACTACATTATCATTAATTACTCACAAAAGTATCATAAAAAGAATTTGTTTTGCGCTTTTAGAAATACAAATAGCTATACCACATGATTTTTTCATATTACAGATAACTGATTATAAATAACATTGTCTGATAGATGGCATTCTACTGATTTCAGATCACTTTTCCTTTTGAGAATCTGACCATAAATAAATATTTTAGAGGCAAATAAAGTGTCAAAACTTGGGGTCCAGGTTTAGATCGATTTTGTACATGTAATACATGAAACCCGCGGACCGCCGTTTTCGCCCAAAATATCTTAATTCTCCCACAACATTGCTGTTTTTGGTGTATTTAAACAAAATTTGGTACATGGGGTAATTGGATACCCCTGATTTCAGTTTTGGCATCAGAATTCACATAAATCTAATGGATTAAGAGTTATTCCAAAGATTCAAGCAAAAAATTGAATGAATAGTGAGTGCCCGAGTAACATGGACCAAAACCTGATAAGTCGGTTTGTAATATTTTATAATTCTTTACGCAAATTCATTCCTTGTATGAAGTCAAACTGAACAGCGAATTTCAATTAGGGCCAGCAGCAATATTATATATACCATGCCGTCATATGATTCCGTGGTACTTACGTTTCCGTGGTATTTTCTAATGACATAATTTCTCACGAGCCACTCGCCAAATCGCGCAACCTATCGATTGTTTACGTTCATCAGTTGATCGGCACGGGTCTGAACAAAAAATGTTCAGACTTTCATTAATTTGCGTACGTACAGTCACCTACTATTAAAAACTAATGCAACTTTATGTCTAGCACGTAATGCATTTTTTGCGCGATCTTTGCAAACATTTTCTATAAACTTACTCAGCTTCAAAGTTTTCCAAACATCGCTCGTCTGCTAGCTGATGTTATCAATAAAAACAATCACGTGACCTAAGGGGGGAATCCCAGCTCTATTTTTTAAACTATAGAAGCCCGATAGGGTCATCTCTTAAGTTGTTTTTTCACTTTTCATTTCACGTATCCCGTATCAACTCTACATATTTTATGAATTGAAAATTTATTATGAAGAAGTGTGACTACTGGTGTTAATTCTACAAAATCGTTTACTGTATTACAATTTATCAACTCCGATATTACTGTAAACCTACATTGACACTCACGGATTGGCTGTTGACAACGTGTGAGATTGTGACATGTGCTGTGAGCCCGTAATTTGATCTGAAGGAAATACTATGTCGTCTAACACTATATTATGTTTATATGACTTGGCAATATGAGCGATCATATTCATAGTCGTAAATTTCTTAATACCGAGGAAACCCATGACGCGAGGGTATATATGAGGTAAATCAATTTGCAGCACAAACAGCTTTCGTATATCATGATCAATGGTGAAAGTGCAACACAGATATCTGTTAAAATGGCAAAGAACAGACTATTTGTTTTTACTTATGAAATAATGGCAACTTTCCTGAAAAGTGCCATTTGCGAAACATTTTACCCGCGTCTTATTCCGCTTTTACTTGCAGAAAACGTACATCGAAATTCATTGAAAATGCATTTCATTGCACAAAACAAACATAAATATAAAACAAATACAACATTTTATCAGCATACATGAGAACATGTAATGACCTTGCACAGGAAGTATTTATAAATAAACCTCATTACTATGCAAGTTTAACAGAGCCCCCTAGTGGCCATCTCAAATTACAAAATGAAATGGCTGCATGGCTAATGAAAAGAAACAAAGAAACTTCTGGAAATAGAAATGAGTCTGAACTACAGATGTATGCAATGTGTGGACATAGCACAAAAACACCTACTAATTAACTCTGGACTAATAATACCACACAAATCGAGGTTGACAATATTCTGCAAAGTTGTATTGATCGAAGGTGTCAATTGGTAGTTATCTGCCCTTGGAAACATTTCCGCAAACCAAAATTTCATATTCACGAGACCCCTGATTTATTGGCATACCATTTGTTTCGCTTAGTGAATAATGCCAAACTACGTACAAAGATAGACAAATATACCTACTTTCATAGCAGAAGACAAACTCGAGAGAATTCCACATGCGATCCCACTTTTTCCCAGTGTGATGCAGCGGTCTCCTACTAGTCCCAGTCCCATAATTAGCGAGTGCAAAGTAAATAATATTCATTGACAAAAATGATTAATATGTATATTCATTATCAGTATTTAATTACTTTGTGTCACGATAGGTGTTACCAATATTGCGAATATATTAAGTCGGCTATAGCCACACGAGGGTGAAGAAACATACTAACCTGAAAACTTCCCCGCCATTGCAGTCACGATTTTCTCTAAATTCCGGAATAGCGGAACAACATTTATTATGGAATGGACGATATACTCATGAAAGTGTGCTTCAAGGTTCAACGTAACTTGAAACGCAGTAGTCATACAACGGATGTATATTTAAAAATCTATTAATTGCAAATTATAAAGATGCGTCTAATTGAACTTAAAATGTACAATTTGTGGTACTAACTATTAAAATATTTGTCATTCGTGAAAATACGCCACAAGATGAGTCCCGTTTTAGCATAAGAATATTCTTGCCAAATTCTTCTTCATCTGAATGACAAGTAATACCCTGTTAAGGTAATTATCAGCAAATCCGTCTGTCCGGGCTCGTGGGATTCTCGAGTGGGTTAATGGTTGTTACTGTCTCTATATACATTATTCTTAGGTTCTAAAATGCAAGAAAACGTCTGGTCGTGTGAATGTAGATCATAGTTATTATAAGAAATCAGAGACTGGTCTGAAATAGGAGCCTACCTGAAATTGATCACATCTATATTCATACACAACATGTACACGGATAGATCTTCAACTATTTCTTATTTGAGTTATAGTAAATGAACAAATCCACAAAAAGACAACAACTATAGGAGCTATGCGATGGACAAAACAAAATGTAAAACACTGGCGTGGTGATTGCCTTAAAATATTCATCTGACACCATGGAGGGTGACTTTAAACATATCCGCAGCGCCGCACAAACCACCCTGAACAATCGGAGTGAAAAGGTTTTGTTTGTATATTCCAGATATATGACGGCGGTCTGGAAATAATCGGTTCTGGACCAGACAATCCAGTGACTGACATCATGAGCATCAATCTATGCAGTAGGGATACGATGCCATGCCTTCACCACGTCAGAACACCCGATACCGTTAATCGAGTGAGTGAGTGAGTGAGATACCACACAGCTTGTAGAGGGATTAAAACCCGGAGTTTCGCTCATGATAAGGACTATTATCGTGCCACGACTAGAGGCCCTTGTGGCGAGGATGGAATGTGTATCGTTTCTACCCCCAACATATTTCACAAAAACCTAAAACATTCATGGTGTAGATGAATTAGCCGTAAGAATATGCTAAGACTGTGAACTGCACGACGTTAGCAAAAAAACAATGTCTCGAAGTAGGCCTACCTTAAATTTTAGTTTTCATTGAAAATATCTTTACATGTCCGAACAGCATCATAACAAACTTTATCACGATTTATGATAAGTTTTCACTCGTAAAAACACTCATTTACATGTCAATATAGATGCTTATAACGGTTGGGATTGGGTTTTTTTGCATGACACAGAGGACAAAAGTCACTTGTAAACGCGTGATATCATTACATAAAATGGGCGGGCTTACACATGATTTTTAAATGAAAGCTGGATAGTCGTCAATACTATCCAAATATAAAGCTTTGCAACCTATCGGGCTTACACGGAAAAATTAGTTTGCTACGCGCCTGTTACGGGTATGTGTGAACAGGTCAGTCAATTTGTGTGAGAGTTTACCTCACAAACCTTACCTCCAATTCGAATCCGATTTCGCACTTGAGTCTCACTTTTGTGTCTTACAGGTTTTGTAGTAATATTTATTCATTCTCCTACTGTAAAAATTAGGTTCGACCATTGTTCGATCATCCACATACAGTATTGCTAATGAAACGAGAACTTAAAACCAATAGTTTTGCGATGGTTAAAATAAAAATAATATGGTCACATGACACAATATGGCTGCCACCATGAAAACGTGCTCTTGTTTATAAACAAGTGGATTTCTACACTGATTTTCGACAGAACATTTTGCCTGACATTGAACTAATAACTCTATATTTTTCAAGGTTTCTATAAGCTTTCTTGGAATGACTAATCAAGGGATGACATCTTTGACATGTCTGAGAGAAACATAGCTTATATCTCATTCTCAATGTCAAATCGGCAGCAGCTTGTTTTACTGTTTTGACACACTCACGCCACTCAGGAAGTTTTCATTAAGACCGGGACATGCACCTTTGTATTAACTGTTCCCGTTTTTTACGGCTTACGCAAGCGATCCCAAAAAAATTTGGTGCTTCCTCTGTTCCAAGACATTTTGGTACAAGAAACTTTACAAATGATCCAACATCCCGACCTGACATACCCACTCAACGCGTGGAGCCGGTGCCTAAACATCGGTCGTTGTTACACGCAGAAGATGTGCCCAGCAAGGAAAAGGTCTTGTCCAGTCATGAGGTGTTGGCGGGGAAAACTGTTACTCGTTCAAGTCATTACATCATTGACAGAGATATTGCAAGTAATTATACAGATGGCAAAATGACGGTGACGCCTTAGAGATGTGAAAACACCACACCACCATATGTCAAAATAAAACTAAAGAAGAAAACAGGGTGATATCCCCTGCCACAGTGTTCTGTTCCTATTTTGACAACTATTCATTCTTCCTACAAGTAGCGATACATAAGCTGTTAAATGAGAAAGTCTGTTCCCATTGAGGATAACGTGCACCAAATCAAGAAGTGCATGAAAAAGGCCATAACTCTGTAACAAATTGTAACACAGTTTCTGTTTTCGAATTCCTTCAAGGCATTTCTGTCCTGAAAACACTTACCAAATTTGGTTTTCCTGTATGTAAAGTGTGAAAATCTGTACCCATCATCTCGGACGGACAGATGGAGCTCAAACCTTTATCCACCTCCCACTTCGTGGCATGGGATAATAACAGAATAAGTTGAGAAAAACATATTGATAAATATGGAAGTGGTTAGCAAACAGATTTCAAGATTTAATATGACCAAAAGCATTTTTCTGATGTATCCTCATTTGGGAAAAAGTATGTGTGTATTGAGGTTGATCAACAGAAAAATGGTAAGGAAGAGTTGGTTAGCTAACATTGTTACTGACTGCACAACAAATGGAAAAGAGACTGTATATAAACCATTTCCCTTTGAAACACACTCTTTACACACTAAGTGTTATGAAATAATCCAAACCTCTTCTGATATGGCAATAATTACATTAGATATTACTAGGAACAATCTGTAATAACTGAAAATGTTTTGGTATTGCTATGTATGTTATTACATAGCCCAGTTTCTCATCATGCCTAGTTGTGTCAGCCAGAATACAGACTCACACAGTGTGGTAGAAGCCAGAGCTCAGTGTTCCTTACTATCATGTTGCATACTATATTGAGACTTTAGTAGCGTGATATGTATTGATGATGCCCATAGTCATTTCTTGCCAATTTCTACCCGTGAAGGTCCGGGTTGGAATGAGCCTTCAGAAACCCATGCTTGTCGTAAGAGGCGACTAACGGGATCGGGTGGTCAGGCTCGCTGGCTTGGTTGACACATGTCATCGGTTCCCAATTGCGTAGATCGATGCTCATGCTGTTGATCACTGGATTGTCTGGTCCAGACTCGATTATTTACAGACCGCCGGCATATAGCTGGAATATTGCTGAGTGAGGCGTAAAACTAAACTCACTCACTCACTCACTCTTGTTAATTTCTTGCAATATTTGAAGTGATGATTTGAGTTATATTTTCAGGGGCTATAGCGACAGCAGTTTATCAAAACCAGCCATCCGAGAGTTGTGTCCTTGTCGAGGCAAATCCTGGTGAGTGAGCTAGAATCTATCCCTTTTCGCCCATTAGCATTATCCTGTGCATACAATACTTCAACATATGGATACAGCACTCTCCATCCTACTACTGTAACACATCTACTACCCTGCCACAAGCTGAAATGAGGGGAGCATGGCTGATGCTGGCAATCTGATGTCTCCATCATCATGGTGGTGTAGACACTAGAATGGAGTATATTCTGCTTTACCGATGTTTATTGTTGGCAGATTAGTCACCCAACTAACCAGCTGGTAGTAAGAAGTGAAATACCTGTCATTTTGAAATCTGTTTGTTTCACTGACCCATTCTGTAGAACAGCACATGCTCTTAGTTTCTGTCACTTGACATGAGTATGGGTTCAAGCTGTACAAAGATGTGAAGGTCTTCTGTTATTGTGGTTCTTGTACTTTCAGGGCCAGGGATATTGACAAGGGCTTTCTTTGATGCAGGGTGTCAGCACGTTGTTGCTGTAGAGAGTAAACCAGAATTCCAGCCATACATGCAGGTACATCATTCCAGCATCTGCATCCCAACATAGGGCATTGTAACCTTGATGTCACTGGCCACTTGTCATCCTGTAAATACTCATACTAGTCAATTTGGTCTCCTATATGGATATAGGACCACTTCCGTGGTGTAGTGGTTAGAGCGTCCGCCCAGACAGCGGAAGGTTGCGTGTTTGATCCCCGACCACGTCATACCAAAAGACATTAAAATATGGTACTTGTTGGTCCCTGCCTGGCATTCGGCATTAATAGGTACAACCAGGACTGGTCGGCACAGAGTCAGTATAATGTGTCTGAGTGGGGTATTCATGCTTCACTGTGGCATGGTATCTCAGTGGGCTAGCACTATAAAACCAGCTTAAGTCTGGGCTAGTACAAGCAGCCGCACATACATACGCATGCACATCGTCATATGAGCGAAATATTCTCAAGCACGACGTAAATCCCAATTTCACCTCACCTCCTATATGGATATCATGATGGCTTTGGGTTGATGGAGGATAACTAGCAGTTTTTTAACAGTTGACTCATGTCCTCATTTTAGTTTACTTTCTGTATTTGCACTCATGCGTGATTATCTCATGGGCCTGCCGGCGAAAACGTTTTTGGTAACCTGGCCCAGAGGAAACCAAAACCATGACGAGCGGACACTTTAACCATTGGGCTACCGCCCCTACTGTTCCAGCAGACCCGTGAAGATCCGGGTTACAGTTGGTCTTCAGTAAGACTAAGAGACGACTAACAGGATCGGGTGGTCAGGCCCACTGACTTCGTTGACACATGTCATCGGTTCCCAATTGCGTAGATCAATTCTCGTGCTGTTGATCACTGAATTGTCTGGTCCAGACTCAATTATTTACAGACCGCTGCCATATAGCTGGAATATTGCTGAGTGCGGCATGAAACTCACTAACTAACTACTGTTCCAGCAGGGGTGATAGCCTGCCAGCAATGCAAGGGAAGACTTCCATTGTTGTCCCAGTGTATTCCTAGCCTTGGTTTACAGGAGATTGAGAGGACAGTGGGACCAGACAGACTCAAGTATTTTGACTTTGATCCTTTCATCTTGTGGAGGCGGGACATGATCACGAACAAGCATGATGCCAGGTACAAGGAAGTAGAGAACAGCATTGCCCAGTACATAACATCCAGGCTGCTGACAGGTCAGACATAGCAGATAGGTTGCAGCGGTTCAGTTGCTTTGTGTTGTATAGTAGTTTCTTACACACCTGTGGGTGAGAAACCCATGTGAGAAAACTGGTATCACACATATGTGTGAGATCAATTTCTAATCCTGTGATTGGCTACTCCATGATGATGACCTAGGGTCAGGTTATGACGGACTACTTTCCTGATTAAAATTCATTGATAAGTTACTCATGCTTCAATCGAACAGAAACCTGTTACTCGTGGAAAAAATACCCCTTTACACCTACCTGTTATTTTCGCGATTGCAACATAAACAGGTATTTATACAATGAATCACAAGTAGAATAAATATAACACAAATTTATTTATTTTCTTATTCCTTTTATTAAAACTTTTGATTTCTAGTCATGAATTCAAAATGGCTCGAACAATCAGTGATACCTGTGTAAACAGTTATGTGAAAATCACTGTTAGAGATAAAGCCCGAGATTCCCTTCGATTATTCAAAATGTACAACATTGGTACTTTTACTGGAGAGATGCGACAAGTGTCATGTGTCGTCTTGCAAAAATACCTAACACGATAACGTCAATGCCTGTCCAATGTGAGATCGATTTGCCTCGTTGTTTCTTTGATGCATTGATGAAGATGACATTTTCACTGATACACATGATGAAGGCCCACTTCCAGCTCCAAGATACTATGTGATTCCAATGTTATCAAATTCACTCATGACAATCAGAACCAAAACACACTCGTTGAAACAATGTACAACATGGAACGTTTTGCAAGGCTTCATGAGTGCAAATCGAACATGTACAGGAACGGTTGATCTACACATAAGTCATTGCTTAAGAAATTCCTCCAACGCATGATAATGCAAAGTTTATGTCTTGATAACATACAGGATGTAATCAACTCACATTTCATACTGAAAACTCTGTAAATTCCGTTACATTCCAAGTGGCAGTTTCTGGCTCGTGAAAACGAGAAGGCTGTGGCGAAGAAGAGTAGTCCCCCATTGATAGTGAACGTAACCTCAGCAATGTCACATTCAAGCACATGGGTTACACCTAATTACACACACTCAATAGTTGTGGCTCTGGTCGATGGGAGAACATCTAACGTACACAAGTACAGATCCCCAATTTGCAGAGATATCCAAAACAATCTTTCAATGACGACAACCACCAAACAATAACGATGCATCACACGCTCAAATCTTTTATGCTTGCAAGAATTAAAATCATCCACATTTACATGGTAACATCATTGTTTTAGAGGGTTTAATTAATTTTCTGTGATCTGATCTAGTTTGCATTATCACCATTGCCGTTAAGCCCATTTCTGGTGTCCCCCGCCGTGATATTGGTGGAATATTGCTAAAAGCGGCGGCGTAAAACTAAATTCAGTCAGTATCACCATTGCCTTGATGACACGAAGATGTAGCAGAAACTTTTTCGTGGAGGGTCACCTTGGGGATGAGTTGTGATTAGGAAGCCAAGTGACGTCACTCATTCATAAACATTGTGTTGTGTATTATTGCGCAGCTACGATGAGAAAATCTGAAATTTGAATCTATTCGACCTTAAAATGGTGCAATTTTATGGTGTGTAAGAAACAGATTACTGTACTCGTGTCTGTCAGATACAACTTGTTGTAAGTTAAATGGTATCTGACAGACACTCGTTCAGTAATCTCTATCACTCCCATGATACCTTCATGGACAAAGCCATATACAATGAGTACTTCAAAAATAGTACTGTACTGTATCTTCATCTATCACTGAAGTTGACCGCTGTGTCACGTTATGATATTTACTCGTTTATTAATGATAATCGTAAGGTATTTGGGGCGGTGGGGTAGCCTAGTGGTTAAAACGTTCGCTAATCACACCGAAGACCCGGGTTCGATTCCCAACATGGGCACAATATGCGAAGCGAAATGTAACAGTAAAAAAACAAGACACATCCATCAATGATCTGAGATTTAGACTAATTCATGCATCTACTTTTCAATATTGATGATTTTATGGGATCTTATAGAAACTGGTTTTGTCTGATTCTGTCAGATTGTGATGTCAACATGCTTCCGGTGTAAGTTTAATCAAGGGCTTAAATTGAACCCTCTGTATTTACGGTGTTTACGTTTAGTCACCTGCATAATTCATTTGTCTGTCAAGTATTATTGGTTGAAATCTGTATTTAGCATGGCACTGTACCTGTTCTACAGATGTTCCTGTCAGTGTGTTTGGTGTTCTGAGTAAAAACAAGGAGTATCCCTTCCTCTCCTACCTGTCCAAGACCTTTGCCTTAGGGGAAGGGCTGTTCTCTGTCAGGCCAAGGAACTGGTTCTTGTTTGTGTCTGCTAAAATGTACCTGGTGAGTCTTGCCAGGCATTGGTAAGCTTTTCATTGATATCCTGACCCAAACTCTCAGAGATGTAAATAAAATTAAACTTGTAAGATCCGATGAGAGAGAATCAGATAACAACATGGCTAATAGTGTGTGATTGTGCCCCAGTGATGTATGACCTGGGTGACAGTGTGTCATCATACCCCAGTGATGTATGACCTGGGTGACAGTGTGTCATCATACCCCAGTGATGTATGACCTGGGTGACAGTGTGTCATCATGCCCCAGTGATGTATGACCTGGGTGACAGTGTGTCATCATACCCCAGTGATGTATGACCTGGGTGACAGTGTGTCATCATGCCCCAGTGATGTATGACCTGGGTGACAGTGTGTCATCATACCCCAGTGATGTATGACCTGGGTGACAGTGTGTCATCATACCCCAGTGATGTATGACCTGGGTGACAGTGTGTCATCATACCCCAGTGATGTATGACCTGGGTGACAGTGTGTCATCATACCCCAGTGATGTATGACCTGGGTGACATTGTGTCATCATGCCCCAGTGATGTATGACCTTGGTGACAGTGTCATCATGCCCCAATGATGTATGACCTGGGTGACTGCACATAGAGAAAGCTTGTGGATGTTGTGACTCAAGGCCACCTGTCATTCTTGCTGGCTAACAAGTACGGTACTCTCTTTCTTCAGCAACTGAAGGTTTGTCGGGGTGACGTTTGGTCGTCCGTCTTCTACAACAAAGTGGCTGTCATCCTCTACAGTTTCTTTGACTTCAAGTTGGTGATGGAGGTGAGATGAAGCTAGCTTCTAGAATATTTCTATGAATAAGAGTTTATATCATGCCCCTTTAAATTATTGCTTATTGGTAACTATCAACATTGATGTGAGATTATTGACAACTCTAAAATTGACCATTTCATTTTCAGCTTGAACACAACAAATTTGCACCTCCATTTAGGAAGAAAATCAGGAAAGTGGTAAGATACATCATGCCTTTTCTAAGGAAATATTTTAATTTCATATTTTTTAAAGGGATAGAATAGTAATAAAGCCATGCTTGATAATTGTTGTTACTGTGTCTGTTGAGGAATGAGTGTAGTATTATCTCACGGTGTCTGTTATTGAGGACTGAGTGTAGCGTTGTCTTATTGTGTCTGTTGAGGACTGAGTGTAGTGTTGTCTCACTGTGTCTGTTGAGGACTGAGTGTAGTGTTGTCTCACCGTGTCTGTTGAGGACTAAGTGTAGCGTTATCTCACTGTGTCTGTTATTGAGGACTGAGTGTAGTGTTGTCTCACTGTGTCTGTTGAGGACTGAGGGTAGTGTTATCTCACTGTGTCTGTTATTGAAGACTGAGTGTAGTGTTGTCTCACTGTGTCTGTTATTGAGGCATGAGTGTAGTGTTATCTCACTGTGTCTGTTATTGAGGACTGAGTGTAGTGTTGTCTCACTGTGTCTGTTATTGAGGACTGAGTGTAGTGTTATCTCACTATGTCTGTTATTGAGCACTGAGTGTTGTGTAGTCTCACCGTGTCTGTTGAGGACTAATTGTAGTGTTGTCTCACTGTGTCTGTTGAGGACTAATTGTAGTGTTGTCTCACTGTGTCTGTTATTGAGGACTGATAGTGATAGTAGTGCTATCTCACTGTGTCTGTTATTTAGAACTGAATGTGGTTTTATCTCACTGTGTCTGTTGAGGACTGAATGTAGTGTTGTCTCACTGTGTCTGTTGAGAACTGATAGTAGTGATGTCTCACTGTGTCTGTTGAGGACTAATTGTAGTGTTGTCTCACTGTGTCTGTTGAGGACTAATTGTAGTGTTGTCTCACTGTGTCTGTTATTGAGGACTAATTGTAGTGTTGTCTCACTGTGTCTGTTATTGAGGACTGATAGTAGTGCTATCTCACTGTGTCTGTTATTTAGAACTGAATGTGGTTTTATCTCACTGTGTCTGTTGAGGACTGAATGTAGTGTTGTCTCACTGTGTCTGTTGAGGACTGAGTGTAGTGTTGTCTCACTGTGTCTGTTGAGGACTGAATGTAGTGTTGTCTCACTGTGTCTGTTGAGGACTGAGTGTAGTGTTGTCTCACTGTGTCTGTTGAGGACTGAATGTAGTGTTGTCTCACTGTGTCTGTTGAGGACTGAATGTAGTGTTGTCTCACTGTGTCTGTTGAGGACTGAGTGTAGTGTTGTCTCACTGTGTCTGTTGAGGACTGAGTGTAGTGCTATCTCACTGTGTCTGTTGTCCAGACCCGGCTGTACCCCGAGTGTGATGTCAACACAAAGTACCTTGTGCAGCTGTCGGTGAAGCCAAATGTAGAACAGATCCTTCCTCCCAGTGAGATCACCACCTTTGCCATGTTCCTTAAACAGCTCCTGTTCAGGAGGAATGACAGATTCATCCCCCGAATGGAGTAAGTTAATCTTATCACCTCACCTCAGGTGTATTTGGAGAATCTGTTTTTTATTGAAGGAAGGGGATGAGTCAGAGGTTTTACATGCACAGAAAATGCCCTCAAAATAAAGTCACCCTCTAATGTTTGTCATATTTATCATGAGTCTCCCCATGTCCATGTACATTTTCTTCATAACCTTCCCTGAAAAGACAAAATGAAAAAGCCTTAAACCTATTCTCATAAATTGTCCTCTGCTTCATGACCCTTCCCAACAGACAGTGACATTCTTTGCTCTTTTTCTGATAAATATCTACAGCTGAGGTTCTCTTAAAAGTGACAGAAATACAGGTGTAAATTTCTATGATATTGATGAAAGAATGCACAATCAAAGATATATGTTAATTGTTTGATTGGAATTCTAGAAGTTGGTGAGTCACTAATAGAGCATACTACTTTATGGATAACAACTTCTTGTTTATTGCATTGTGTGACATTTCGGTGTAGATTCTTACACCGTTTTCAAGCTTGAAAACGAATCCACACTGAACAGTCAATCAATGCAATAAACAAGAAGTTATTATCCATAAAGTCATATGCTTTATTAAAGAATTTTGTAACTATTTGGTGTCATTAGTATTATCAGCTGCTGCAATTGTGGTTTGTAATCCGGTCTGCTTCTGTCAACAGACAGCTGATCCCTGGGTGTGGGCTGCACTTGATCCAGGCCAGGTTCTCCATGATGCAGCTAGTGATGGACCTGACTCCGGCACAGCTGCTGGAGGTCTTCAAGGTCAGTAATCCCTACACCACCACAGCAGTCGCTACATAGGGATGACAGCAGTCGCTACATAGAGATGACAGCAGTCGCTACATAGAGATGACAGCAGTCGCTACATAGAGATGACAGAGCTGTCAGCTACATAGAGATGACAGCAGTCGCTACATAGAGATGACAGCAGTCGCTACATAGAGATGACAGCAGTCGCTACATAGAGATGACAGCACATAGATGCAGCAGCTACATAGAGATGAGGGATGACAGTCGCTACATAGGATGACAGCAGTCGCTACATAGAGATGACAGCAGTCGCTACATAGGGATGACAGCAGTCGCTACATAGGGATGACAGCAGTCGCTACATAGGGATGACAGCAGTCGCTACACATAGGGATGACAGCAGTCGCTACATAGGGATGACAGCAGTAGCTACATAGGGATGACAGCAGTCGCTACATAGGGATGACAGCAGTAGCTACATAGGGATGACAGCAGTCGCTACATAGGGATGACAGCAGTCGCTACATAGGGATGACAGCAGTCGCTACATAGGGATGACAGCAGTCGCTACTACATAGGGATGACAGCAGTCGCTACATAGGATAGGGATGACAGCAGCGCCATTAAGCTACAGGATAGTCGCCACATTAGGGATGACAGCATAGGGATGACAGCAGTCGCTACATAGGGATGACAGCAGTCGCTATATAGGATGACAGCAGTCAGCATAGGGATGACAGCAGTCGCTACATAGGGATGACAGCATGCATTAGGGATGACAGCAGCAGCTACATAGGGATGACAGCAGTCGCATAGGGATGACAGCATAGGGATGACAGCAGTCGCTACATAGGGATGACAGATGACATGACAGTCGCTACATAGCTACATAGGGATGACAGCAGTCGCTACATAGGGATGACAGCAGTCGGGATGACAGCAGTCGCAGGATGACAGGATGACAGCATCAGCTACATAGGGATGACAGCAGTCGCTACATAGGGAGGGATGACAGCAGTCGCTACATAGGGATGACAGCAGTCAGCAGGGATGACAGCAGCAGTCGCTACATAGGGATGACACAGCAGTGAGGATGACAGCAGCAGTCGCTACATAGGGATGACAGCAGTCGCTACATAGGGATGACAGCTACAGCTACATAGGGATGACAGCAGTCGCTACATAGGATGACAGCAGTCACTACATAGGGATGACAGCAGTCGCTACATAGGGATGACAGCAGTCACTACATAGGGATGACAGCAGTCGCTATAGGGATGACAGCAGTCGCTACATAGGGATGACAGCAGTCGCTACATAGGGATGACAGCAGTCGCTATATAGGGATGACTAGCATAGGATGACAGCAGTCGCTACATAGGGATGACAGCAGTCGCTACATAGGGATGACAGCAGTCGCTACATAGGGATGACAGCAGCATTACATAGGGATGCTCACTATAGGGATGACAGCAGTCGCTACATCGGGATGACAGGGATGACAGCAGTCGCTACATAGGGATGACAGCAGCAGTCGCTACATAGGGATGACAGCAGTCGCTACATAGGGATGACAGCAGTCGCTACATAGGGATGACAGCAGTCGCTACATAGGGATGACAGCAGTCGCTACATAGGGATGACAGCAGTCGCTACATAGGGATGACAGCAGTATAGGATACAGCAGGATGACAGCAGTCGCTACATAGGGATGACAGCAGACAGCAGCTACATAGGGATGACAGCAGTCGCTACATAGGGATGACAGCAGTCAGCGCTACATAGGGATGACAGCAGTCGCTACATAGGGATGACAGCAGGGATGACAGCTACATAGGGATGACAGCAGTCGCTACATAGGATGACAGCAGTCGCTACATAGGGATGACAGCAGTCGCTACATAGGGATGACAGCAGTCGCTACATAGGGATGACAGCAGTCGCTACATAGGGGATGACAGCACTACAGTCGATGACAGCAGTCACTACATATGGGATGACAGCAGGATGACAGCAGATGCTAGCATAGGATGACAGCAGTCGGGATGACAGCAGTCGCTACATAGGATGGATGACAGCAGTCGCTACATAGGGATGACAGCAGTCGCTACATAGGGATGACAGCAGTCGCTACGCCTACAAGGATGACAGCAGTCGCATAGGGATGACAGCATCGCTACATAGGGATACATAGGGATGACAGCAAGTCGCTACATAGGGATGACAGCAGTCGCTACATAGGGATGACAGCAGTCGCTACATAGGGATGACAGCAGTCGCTACATAGGATGACAGCAGTCGCTACATAGGGATGACAGCAGTCGCTACATAGGGATGACAGCAGTCGCTACATAGGGATGACAGCAGTCGCTACATAGAGGATGACAGCAGTCGCTACATAGGGATGACAGCAGTCGCTACATAGGGATGACAGCAGTCGCTACATAGGATGACAGCAGTCGCTACATAGGGATGACAGCAGTCGCTACATAGGGATGACAGCAGTCCCTACATAGGGATGACAGCAGTCGCTACACGGGATGACAGCAGTCGCTACACGGATGACAGCAGTCGCTACATAGGGATGACAGCAGTCGCTACATAGGGATGACAGCAGTCACTTCTAGAAAATTAGTAACATTTGGTTTAATTAGTTATGAACAAAAACAATCTGAATGTTACATCACCGACTGGATGAATAGGAATGATCATGGCAATGGCAGTAAATAAACAAATACATATGAAATTAATTCAGCAGGCTAAAGGCTAAACCAAGGTAAGCTGCCAGTCAGGGACGGGGGGAGTGAGAATTAGTATTGATGTCAGAATGTGGACACTGTGTGAACATGGGCAAATACACTAGAAGAAGAACATTTAAGTTTACACAATTTTGTATGCTACCTTCTGACAATTTGCAGATAATAAGATATAATCTATGACTGTAAAATGTAATGCTTCAAAGGTATTGTATGAATTTGTTGAGTTTTTGGTTTGTAATGTGTTCAAGACTTCAATTTCAACATGCTCAATAAGAACCAATATAGGTCAATTTGATGGTGATGAGATTGATGCCAACTGTGTGCAGTAAGGGGTTTTACACACTTGCACTCTGCTTTACTGCAAGCAATTGTAGTGCTGTCAGATTTCAGTTAATTGTCCTATTATTCATGAAAATAACATCTGAATAAGATCAGAATTCATTATCCATAATAATTTGGTTGTTGTTATTGTATAATATTTGGTTAATATTTTCTTGTAAGGTTCTACATGAGATATTGGTATCTTGAGAGGATAGTTAAAGACATTGTCTTGAAATCACAAAAACTGAGGAAACCTATGTAGACTTTTGGTCCCAAGAATTTGTACAGAAGCTATTTAAATATCAAACTGACAGCAATAGTTGTTCAGTGTTAAGTCTTTGTTGCTTTCATATACAAGAAAGCTACAGTTCTGTGATGCTTTGGTTAACAATATCCTCCATTCAGGTGCTAATGTGATGAATATGATGTACATAGATGTGAGTTGACTGTCCTTCTTCTGTTATGGAGTCTATAGTCTGTCTATTCTACTATGATAAATATCCTGGCAACAAAAGTAAGGTAGCAAATCAGTCCAAGGCATTGTTGGAGCAGAGATATACTGAACAGGACACACTTAGCAGTGTACTTCACATGTTGGATGAGATATTACATATAAATGTGTTGGCACAGTATAGGGATGTCTTGACATAGTCATACACAGATATACAGTTTGTTGCCGCAAATACGGGGTAACCAGACAAAATACTGCCCAAAAGTGCATCATAGGGAAAAAGCCTCTTGGGTGGTTTTTGGAGGGGGGTATTTTATCCGGGATTCGTATGAGGTCAGTTTTTCTTACCTGAAATGGGGAAGTGGGGGTTGAGAAAGGGGCCACCTTATACATTGGGTGGTAAAACTTGTTGGTATGGTGAAAGGTTAGATGCAACCAATAAATAAACATAATTAAAACACAATTATCATTTATTCATGACATATGATATACATTGCTGACTATGTAATAACTAATAAACAAAATTATAAGCGTACAATCGCAAAATCAAATACTCGGGTTTACTTCCCTCAAAACGAAGTACTCGGGATAGCGAATCCAGTCAGAGTGGGTGGGCGTGCACTTAAGTGTGACAAAGGCTTTCATTGGCTGGTGCATTTGCCGATACACTCAGGGCTCTTTGTGTATGTGCATAGAGATGTTGGGTTTTGTAAATACATGCTCATTTTTTGTGTATAACATTGTGCAATCAACAGACATCATAACATGTCATGTGTACAAGTATCACACCTGCCTGTCTGTGTAATTACATAATGTGACAGGGACGGAACTTGGGCCATAAATCAATGCGTTTTGTTTATGGTGTATAGCCTGATAGGTGTTAAGTTCAAATTGCATGTGGTCAGTGATCGAAGTTGTGTATTGCATATTGTCATTAGCAAACAGGCAGGCAGGCAGGCAGACACATATGTGTCAATAAAACAGACATTGAGTTTTGTCTGTGACAGAGGCATATCTATATCACAGTTGAAATTCTGACAATGCTAAACAATGACGATGCTTTTAAGTATCGAACTGAGAAAGTGACTCTGTAAGAAGAATGAATGTGTGGTGAAATAGTCAAATGAAATTATATAAACAGTTAAATCGGTAATCTATAGTCATAACATATAAAAAGCTCGCACCTGTGAAAAATCAACAAAACATTAGAAAAATAGCTCACATCAAAGCCTACTTCGAGTACTCACCGCTAGCGAAGGTTTTCCATCTTGAAATGTCGAATGCCTCACTGGTTGACACAGCTGAGTAGATCTAGATCATTAACTAGGTTCTTTTATGTAATGAGTAGATTATTTACTATTTGTTGTTTGTGTACATAACCAAGATTAGACTGCTCCTGCTCACGACCTTATAATCTGGGCATCCCAGTTCGAGCCCCGTGAACCTATTCACTGCGCATGCGTGCAGCACAGCTGTTGAAA